TTAAAAAACTTGGTCACCGACCATCATGGCAATAGAAATGATCTTTTTTTTTTTTTCTAAAATATTTAATTTTCAATAAATTATTACGTATTATTATCATCATTATTATTATTATTATTATTATTATCATTATTATTATTATTATTACTATTATTATTTTTATTTTTATTTTTTTGAAAGGTATTATTATTATTATTATTATTATTATTATTATTATTTGACATTCAAGTCATCAAAATATATTGATGTGGCTTTCCTATCACCTTTAACTTGAAGATTACTCGAAATAACATGTCAAATTGTGTTAATTGCACTTTTTTTTAAGTTTGGGTTCCTAATTAAAACTTTTTCTAACTCAAGGGCTTAATTGTACTTAAATGAAAAATTCAATGACTAATTTAACCCTGACCCCTTTTTATTTTAAATTAAAATTATATTAATTGATATTTATTATTTAACTATTTATTAGTGATTTGGACACTAATTTTATATTATTCTAATATTTTTATCAAATAATTAATATTTATGCATGTTTACAAATATTTACAAATATACTCCAATATTTTTATATTCACACTTCTTCTCCACATTCCATTTGATATATTTTTCAGAATTATCATTTTCTCATTTTCTGATCTCATTATAGTGACAGACAGTTTTCATACATTTTAGTACATTGTGTGTTCAAATTTGAGTGAAATGATTGAATTGAAGATATATTTTGTATTTTTTAAATTCAAAGAGCATCAAACATTTTTACCGATATATAGAATTATCTTTCAAATTGTCACTGGAATTTTGATAACTAGTTATTTAAGTTTGAGTGTTTAATTATACTTTTTAAAGTTTAGGAGCTTAATTACACTTTCGAATAAAGTTCAATGACCTGTTTGGTTATTTTCCATTATTAATTTGTATATTTGAAAAGTTTCTAGTTGGACCCAAAACATGGGTGTCATTGTTGAGAAGAAAACCTTTTAACTCTGCAACTAGAAACCAGAAAGTAGGTTTAATTATTTTATCATGGGATTCATGGCAACTGAGTTGTCGTAATTGCTTGACTCCCAAGTTGTCTACCGAATCAACGGTTGAAGTTCTCCGCGGTCTTCCAAAACGCCAAAACCAATCTACCATTATTCCATCATTGCACAATTTTTAATAAATACTCTCCGCGTAATTGGCGTGTGTAAACACAAATTATGTGAATTTATATAAAGACTATATTAGAGACTTATACAATTATCACTCTTTTACATTCCCCTTTTTATTAGATATATATAAATTTATATTAGCAGAAATTAACGTAAATCAATTCAATAGTAATACAAATTATAAATGCATTAATATAGGTTTAAACTATCTAAATTATTTTATTATATTTTAATTAATTTTTATTTAAATTTAAAATTTTTAAAATTTAGTAGGTCCCTGTCATGGTCCTTTTACTTAAGCCGTGTCGGGCTGGACAAAAGTCAGTTTTGTCAAGTAGCGGGCTTTGACAGGCCTCATCTTATCAGCCTGCATTGGTAGTTCTAATCGTGTGTCACTAATGAATATTAAAAATTATAATATCTAAAATATTTTTTTTTTTATTTATAAAGGAAGGGGGATACCCCCTCCACTGAGGGGCAAATTATGTTGTGCATCCGTAAGCACCATTGGTGCATACGGATGCAAAAACGACGTCGTTTTAATAAAACGCGCGTCTCCTCTTTAAAAAAATCAGGTTTGATTCTCAGCAACAACATATGAACTAAAATTCCAGAATCGATGAATTATAATTCCATAATCGATGAACTATAATTCCAGAATCTAATCTATGAACTAAAAATTTCAGAATGAATGAACTAAAATTCCATAATCTATGAACTAAAATTTCAGAATCGATGAACTACAATTCCAGAATCGATGAACTATAATTCCATAATCAATGAACAATAATTCCATAATCTATGAACTAAAATTCCAGAATGAATGAACAATATAATGTTGTTGCTGGGAATCGAACCTGAATTTTTTTAAAGGGGAGACGCGCGTTTTTTAATAAAACGACGTCATTTTGGCATCCGTATGCACCATGCATGGTGCATATGGATGCACAACATAACTATTGCCACTGAGGCTCGAACTATCCACCTTCCACCTCCCACATAAGGAAGCAACCGGTTACTAGTGGACCACAAGATCCTTGGTAATATCTAAAATATTTTAGGAAAAAGTGTCAAATTGGTCCTCTAAGTCATTCGGATAGTGCAATTAGGTCCCCTAAGTATAAAAAGCTCCATTCAGATCTCCTAAACCTGTAAGATAGTTCAATTGATTCTAAATTTACCTGTATAGCAGAATAATTCATCCCCAGCTTGACACATGTTGCCTTTAAAATATTTTTTATTTTTATTATTTTAAAAAATATTTATTATTCAATTATTAAAAATTTTTAAAAAAAAATTCAGCCACCGCCGGACAGCCACGACTGTCAACATGAAGTCCAGATCTGGACCTCAAACGGCCGGTAACGAGGGCAGCGGCCATGACCGTCGCCCTTGTTCCAAACGGCCATGGACAACCATGGCTGTCTAAAAAAAAAAATTGAATTTTTTTTAGACGGCCATGGCTGTTTAGGGACGGCCCAGACAGCCATGGCCGTTTGAAACGAGGGCTCCCGACCGTTTGAGGTCCAGATCTGGACCTCATGTTGACAGCCGTGGTTGTCTTTCCCGGAAAGCCACGGCTGTCAGTGAAGGAGGCAGTCACCAGCTGTCCTCGGCGGACAGGCGGTGGTTGAATTTTTTTTTTTTTAATTTTTTAATAATTGAATAATTTAAAAGAATAAAAATAAAAAAAATATTTTAAAGGCGACACGTGTCAAGCTGTGGATGAATTAACCTGCTGTATAAGTAAATTTAGACTCAATTGAACTATTTTACAGATTTAGGAGATCTGAATGAAACTTTTTTTTTTTTTTTTACTTAAGGGACCTAATTGCACTATCCGAATAATTTAGGGGGGCAATTTGACACTTTTCCCAATATTTTATATCATTTAATATCATCTCTAATAAAAAAAAAATTGATATGATACAAATAATAATTTTTTACACAAAATATTTGATATCTCTATCAATATTAAACTAATCCAGGCCATAATCGCGGGCAAGTGCTTGGAATTTCTCTTCGAAGACCAACAGTTCCAATCAGTTTCCAATCAACGCCGACGTTAATGTATTTCCAATCAATTTCCGCAATATTGTCCGAGTCAATTCTTGACTTTGAAGTAGACTGTACTATTATACTATGAAAAATAATTGGTGGAATCCATTTTATACTCCTAACTTTAATTCTCTCTCACATATTTTTAATCTAGATACTTCTCTGTGGACTCACATGATGAAAACAACCAAACATTGTTTGCTATTTCAAGTAGCAAAAATAAGGGAGTAGAATTTGAGAATATACATAGTATGTAGAACTCTTAATAAAATAGTATTATCATTTATCAATGGCCCTTCGATCATGGACTTAATAAAATAAAATAAAATTTTGTAAGTGATGAAAACTAAATTAAAGGATTTAATTTCAGATTTAGTCCTTTGATTGTCATTGATTTTCAATTTTAGTATTTGACTTTTAGAGTTATCAAATTTAGTCCTTAAATATTAAATAATTTTCAATTAAAATCCATTATTAGATTTTTCCTGTGTGAATTATTGAATCATTAACATTGATGGTAAAAATGGAAAGTAATGACTGTTGATTTTATTGAGCATTGGAGTAGTCAAATGGTAGACCAACACTAATGAAAAATAAAGAAGCAAGGTTGTCGGAAAAGTGTTTTTATTGCTCGTGTATGCGTAAGAAAAGCTTAATCCTTTTTCAAGATGCTCTAGGCCTATTTATACAAGAGATGAAGAACTTAATTTAGGTAGTAACCCTAAACTGTCATAAATACAGTTGATTTTCTTTCCTTATGGCTTCCGGATTTTCCTCCCCCTTCCACAAGATCTACCTAAATCTCTTCTTGATACGGCTAGCATCTCAACACCTGTCCAAGCCCTTACTGGAGCCGGCCAATCCTCTCTCTATGGCCGACTGACGCGCTCAGCCGCCCATTCATCCTGCTATGCTACTAGGTGCGACCCATCTACGCAGTCAGTCTCCTGTCCGTCCCACCTGAATGAGTCCTCTACCTGCTTGGTACTTCGCCCGAGCGTCCGACTATGCGGCTCCCTCCCTTGGTCGCATTGTTGATTGCCTAAGGGGTTCCACTCGACTGGCCCCACCAACAGTCCGCCTTCCTGCCTATCTCCGTTAAAAATCCTTCCCTCTGACTGACTGATCTTATCTGTTAGCCCGCTTGACTGCCTGCACCCATGTCTCTGTCCACTCGACTGCCTACGCCAACCTGGCCGACTAAATAATAGTGCTCACCCGACTGGTACCATGTACTTCACACTCATCCTACCCGTCGACTTCGCCTATCTTATCTTGCCTAGTCTGACTGGGTGTATGCCCATCCCATCAATGATCATTGCATCAACTGTTTATCAAACGTATAAAACAAAGCCCTAATTTTTTTTTGAAAGGAAAAATTTAATGCATTAAATCAGCAGTAAGGCAATCAATAAAGCCCTAATTTCTTATTCTAGCCATCTTAGGGTGTGTTTGGTTCGCACATAGGAATCGAAATCGGAGTGGGTATCAAATACTTGGTAATGGTAATGGATTTTGATGAAAGTATTTAACATGTTTGGTACTAAGGTGGAATGGGAATGGTTACTAATAGTAGTGCTTGAGAATGAATAAGGGAATGAAACCCTTATTTAATTTGGATATGCGTTTTTCAATTGATGGGGTATTCGAAACACATAGTAGTGTTCTAAAAACTTATCAACCAAACAACAACAATCACTTTCATACTCATTCCTATGGGCAAAACCCACCAACTAAACAAACCCTTAATTTTATCCTCAATTTTAACATTTCACATAGACCAAAACTTGCACAATTGGAAATGATTCAATACTTATAGACTAAATTTTATAACTTTAAAAGTTAATGATTAATAAAAATAAATAATAGTCAAAGGACTAAATCCCGAATTAACTCAAACTAAAGCTAGATAACTATTACACAACAAATGCAGTTAGGTACTAAAGCTACATAACTTGTGCTCAGATGGCACCTCTGTGGCTCCTCTTGAGGGAAGGTCATAGGATTGAACCTCGGTGGTGGGGCTGCAGTACTTAGAGAAAGTATAGAACAGATATTACCTTATAATAGTATTAAAAAAAAAAAAAAAAAGCTAAATGCAAAACCTCATATAATAATCTTGAAATAGTGTAAATTTAATGGTTAACCAAAAAAAAAAAATTTATGAAATATAAAAAGTTTACTCAATATAATCTCAATTATTTAAGCAATTTTCTTTTCTCATCAGTCTTTAAGCAATGGGGTAAGAAGCTCTGGTGTTAAGGTTACAAACTCCTTGTGCATTGATTCCTCTGGCCATCTTCATATAACCACTCTCACCCCAACTGATTCCCCATGAATTCTTCACCAACCAATAATCTATTCCATATTCATCGCTAGTCCCGTACCCAATGATCGTCATATCATGGCGGTATCCAGACCCGCAGTCGCCGTCGAAAATTCCGGTGGCGTAGTGCTGGAATAGTCCCAACTGGCCGAGATCGATTCCGACGGAGACAGGCTGGTTTGTGACGGCCGCAAGGAGAGCCGATTCGGTGGCTTCCACCTCTTGGTAGCCTGTAATGGTGGCAGCTGGGTTGCTAAGGGTTTGCGTGTTGCAACTTGCCTCGACACCCTCGTACGGGTAGTCGGACTCCGCCATGAGGCCGCCGCTATCCTTTATGAATTGGAAGGCCTCCGTTCTGTTTCCGCCGCTGCAGCCGCCATTGTTGAAGTCGCAGTCGATGAGTTGCTGTTCGGATAAGGAAATTAATTGGCCTGTTTTTATTTTCGTTATTCCTTCCACCGCTGCCACTACCGCAAACGCCCACGCGCTATCTTATATAATTCATAACCAAACAAGAAAACCAAGGGTGAGTCTCCTATCGGACCACTATAAAAATGTTATACAATAATACTACGGAAAATAACAAGAAATGGAAGGATTACAAGTAGGCGCGCGAGAGAGAGAGTTTCTCAGTTATACATGATGATTATATTGACTTGGTAATCCGATTCAAATTATTCAATAAATATGGAATAATAAGGGATAAAGAAGGACAATGAATGTTAGGCAAGAAATATGTGTCACTGGGTCAAGATTGTATTAAGACTAGCATTACAATGGAGTTGAGTGATATGTCCTAACAAGACAAAGATGAGTACTTTTATACTAAACCGTGCTCCAACTACTCCCGCGAGAAAAGAGCGAGTAGTTACGTTAGACCTCCTCGACCGAGCCTAATGCCTTTACTACGCACGCTACAACTGTCTATGAAGCCACAGAGGCCGAGCCCTAGAGCTCGGCCTTGGACCTCCTCAAGGTGCCCAACTCGGAGCTCGGCGTGGAACCTCCGAGGTGCCAAGCTCAAGACTCGGCCTTGGGCCCAAGTATCATCGAGCCTGCTCCAGGGGGTTGATTTGCTCTTGGTCCATTTGTAATATATATCTATATATACAATTCAAGCTCCGATCCCTCTAAAAGGGTATTATATTGTATATATAGTTGTGCAAATCTACTTCTTTTTTCAATGGTGGACAAAGGATATTTACAAACCTTTTCACTTTCATTTTCCAACTCAAATAGGTCTACTTTGAGAATCAACTTCTCATTCACCCATTATCCGTTTTGATCGTATAATATATCAATCTGTTCTCTTTATTGTGTAGGAGTCACTGTTCAAACAAGGAGAGGTAGGTCCGAGACCCCCACAATGATACACTTTGTTTTATAATTTAGTTGTCCCATTGAACCTAAGTGCCAACTATGTTGGGTGTCCAGTATACAACTTTTATTCCAAGGGCTTTAATTCCACTTCTCATGTCAACTGCTCAGTCAACTCTCTATTTAACCATTTGGTTAATGGATTTGCTATGTTCCTTTTCTTTTGAGACTCAATTTATCATTCACCCATTATCTACTTTGAGCATACAATATATCGATCTCTTCGTTTCAATGAATAAACGAAATTCACTTTGACTCGACCTAAATCGGGAGTAGATCCCACATATATTTGTACCACAAAATAACTACTTAAAATGTCATTTCATGCTAGTTTTTCCAACAATTTTTATGTAAAAAAACAAAATGTAATACTAATCATGAATAAATTATTTTTAAATCAAAATCTAATATTAAGGCGTGAACAATTACTTATAAAAATGTAATATTAAAGGTTGAATTGTTACCTACGAGAAAAATTGTAATATTTATGAAAATTGGACCTGAGAGATGGTCTCATTGAAGATTTTGCTGAAAACCAATTTTTGTATTGTTTTTTTTTTTTTTTTTTTTTAAATGACTTTAAAGAAAAAAAAAAAAAACTTATCCAGCAATACAAAAAAGGAAAGCACCACAGTACTGCATTTAAAAATGACATTTAAAATTTTTTTAGTACTTATTTACCGCACTTTCCTTGGACACTGATATTAGTCACAGCACCCTGCTCTCTCCAATCCAAAGACTCTGGAACTTCAGCCAAACTCTCGTTCACAAAGGATGTTGGTTTTGAAGTCTTTGGGTACGGCGTTGACTTCTCTTCATTCAACAAGGTGGCTCGAAACTCTTCTTTAGTTAGATCAGTAAATTTATTGGTGCCAAGTTTGAAAGATCGGCCGCTAACTTTATTGAATTTCTCAATAAATTTCACGTTTTCTTTGAATATTGTGAACCGTTTTGATTTCTCAGTTTCATTTTTGTATGAGCGCCCATGGAGAGACATCCACCTCTCGTGACGCAAGATAAAGGAAGTCTCTTCAAGGGTGGGTGCAGCGGATAGAGATTCCCATGCCCCCAACAGGAAAAGGGCTGCCAGAACAACCAATCTAGAATGAAAGTTGAGGACCATGGGAGATGTATAGTATATTTTATGGAATGAGTGATGTGTTTTGATTAATAGGGATGAGAACAACCTTAAATTTCCTAGTTGAAAATTCTGCGGAATTGAAGTAAACAACAAGCTAGCCGTGTGTAACATGTCACATAAATATTCACTCGTCTTTCTCCATTATTTTCAACGTAGCTAGCACGGCATGAACCTGTCCAATAATATAATATATTTTCCAACTGAAGAGTAGGTTGCGGAAAAAAAACAACTGATGTATGGTAATTAGTACTTATTAGTGTGTTTGAACTTTGGATTGCTATTTTGTTATATAATGTTTAGATTTTGGATTTGGAATATTTGAATATGTATTGTTTGGTAGTGTGTTTGAAAAATTAGGAAATGTTAAAAATTGAGGTTCTTAAACTGAACTAATTGAGAATCGAACTTTTTCAAACTGAATCGAACTATAATGTTAAACCGAATGGTATCATTTTTTAATACTAAAATACCGAAACCAAAACCGAAAAAAAAAAAACCGAATCCCGAAACGTTCACTCCTAGTGTAAACCCACTTCCCAAACCAATGTGGGACAAGTGCTTTTACAAAGTCTTTCCACCCTCATTTCCAACTCAAATGGATCTACTTTGAGAATCAATTTCTCATTCATTCATTATCTGTTTTTAGCATATAATATATCAATCTTATCGTCTTACTACGAAGAACCCGAATTCACTTTGACCCGACTCAAGTGAAAGTAAAGCCCACATATATTTATACCATAAAATAGTCACTTTTTATGCCATTTTATGCTAAAAATTCCTACAGATATTCTCATAGAAATTTTAGTTATTTAATTTGAGTGTTCAGTGGAATGATTAAACTGAAGGTACTTTTGATAGTCAGATCAGGACCAGATAACTAATTGTGAATATTTAAGAGATAATTTTTATTTACCTTATTAAAATGAAAAATAATTAATTAACACATTGCCGGGTTTAATTTAACCTCATTTACCTTCGTATTTGTTTAAACACGTCAACGTGTGTGTATGAACATTATTAATTTATATATTTTAGAAGTTTTTAGTTGGACCAAAAACAAGGGTGTCACTGTATAGAAGAAAAACTTTTACGTCAACAATTAAAGAGGCAATGCGACTAGAAACAAGAAAACATGGCAACTGAGTTGTCATTAGTTGCTTGACTCCTTAACTTAGTCTTCTACCGACTAAGCTAAGAGCTTATTTGATAATTGCGCAATGTTTAATACTCTCCGCGGAATTTTCGTGTGTAAACACAAATATGATGTTTAGTAAATAGCTGATAGCGGTTCGTTGTTAGCTGATTGAGTTAGTAGGTTTGAGTAGTTGATAGCATTAGCTGATTGCAGAAAAATGTTTGGAAAATTAGCTCTTATTAGCTCATAACTGATTACATGCAAAATAATTTTGTCAAAAACTTAATCGAAAAAGTTACTTTGAACAAGTTTTTGCATTTTAACATTTTAGAGCAATAAGTTGTAATAAAAAATTTATTAAGCAAACACTCATATTGAATGTTTAACCAAGTCAAAAGCTAATAGTGGTTAAATAAGCCAAATACCTTGTTTAGTAACATGTATAGTTAGCTTATTAGCCAATTTTGATTTATTTGACCATTATTAACTGTTTGACTTGGTTAAACAATCATATGAGTATGATAGGCTTAAAGATGAGCACTTTTCTCCTTAATTGGTCCGACTCAGTACGAATGAGAATTAGTCTGAGTATGATAGATTTAAAGGTGTCTCATAGATCTACTCAAGATAACTCATTGTAAAATAAAAAAAAAAAAAAAAAAGTGAACTATGTGTGGAAATCATGAGCAGAAGTGCGGGCTTTGAACTTTTCAAAGACCCACACTTCAATCAATTTCCAATCAACGACAACGTTAATGTATTTCCAACCAATTTCCACAATATTGTTCAAAGTCAATTCTTAACTTTAAAGTAGACTTATTTCTCAAAGTTATATTTAGCAATGGAAAGTGATGAAAACTATAGCCACTTAGCATACATACAAAAGAAATCAAAATTATTTTACATAATCTCAATTATTTGCGTTTATATTCTATAAAATTAGAGAAACTTTCAATTATGAAATAAACCATTATAATATTCAAATCAAATTTAAGTAAAAAATATGATAGTATTATATATAATGCCATGTGAGGTTTTTTTACTTTTTTATTTTATTTTTATTTTATTTTTTTTATGAGTACTACTAACTCTGTTATAATGGAGTATCTGTTCATAACCACTTTCTCAATCTATTTATGCACAAAGAGTCAATAATCAGCTTTCCACTAAGACTCAAACCCACAACTTCCCATATAATGGAGCAACTTGGTGCCACACTGCCACTAGACCACAAGCAGTCGTTATATCATAGACCGCGGTCCATGTGCACCGCAGTAAAAAACGGCGCCGTTTCTTTAAGTAAAGAAACGGCCCGCCGTTATAGTTAACGGAGTCCGCTTGTTTGGTGTATTAAACACCAACTGACACTACAGTATATCTAAACCGACACTGCAGTTATATCAAAATGATACTGTAGTTATAGTGAAATGAAACTACAGTGTATATAAAATGAAACTGAATAACATTTCACATATTTGAGTGTATTATACAATGAAGCTGTAATTATATCAAAATGATCATGTAGTTGTGTTTTAATGAAACTATAGTGTATATAAAATAAAATTAAATAACATTTCACATATTTGAGTCTATGAATATCGAATGAAACTATAGTTATATCGAAGTGAAACTGTAGTTCTGTTGAATTGAAACTGCAGTGTACAAAATGACACTAAAGAACATGGTTACTTTTTACAAAAGGGTGCGAAACGACGGAAAACAAACACTGTTTGTTTTTATTTAAAAAAAAAAGACGCACGGTGCATGATTGATCATGCACCGTGGTGCATGATATAATTTGCGGACCACAAGGTACTTGACTACCATGTGATGGTATAAGTCCAAACAACCCAATAAGTTCAATGACTGCGAAGGTCCATAAGATATATGAGTGATCTAGTCCATGAAATTAATCGGTGAAAGTAGTTTTGGAAAATAGTTATGATAACTTTACAAATAAAAAGAAGTCATTAAATGGTGATCTTGCAATTAAGGAAAGTAAATCATTCCTCAATTACCTCATCATCTCATCAATCATGCCATCTTACCACAATGTTGGGTTGATATTTGAAGGGGCAAGTCTAGCATCCTAGTATTGAAACTTGTTAGGATCGATACTGTTCACAACACCAAAATATAATAGCAACTTGAACGAAATATTGAGAATAAATTTCTAGTGTAGGATTTAGAATAAATATACACAAAATAAGGCAAATTGAAGAAGAATTTTCTGTATTGGCAAAAGGATATTACAATAGAAATTACAAATATAACTCTATATTTCTACTCTCTGTATTTTGCTATACTACTCTCTGTATTTCGAATGGGATGATAAAAATGAATGCAAGATGTTGCTTTTATATAGCAACCTAAATGCCTAGAGATTTGCAAAGCATTAAATGTCTAGAGATTTGCAAGATATGAAAATCTATTCCTGCAGATTTTCCCCAAGCAAAACCTATGCCCAAGCTTTTCTCTTTAGGCAAACCTATGCCTATGCTTTTCCCCTTAGACAAACCTATGCCCGAGCTTTTGTCTTATTCAAACCTATGCCCAAGCAAACCTCATCCCATACATTTACTCCTCCAAACTTCATCCCAAACAAAACCTTAGCCCAAGGTTTTAAACCTCTGCCCATTTCCACATTTTGACTTTAGTATTTACAAATCTCTCACTTAAAGTCACAATGTGGATCTTCATCATTTTTGCCAATTCCCTGCTGCTTTCATTCTTGTTAGGCTAATTGAGGATCTACACCATACGAATTTATCGTTGGTCGTAGGCTTGTTAACATATATGCCAGGTTATTTTTAGTATGATTTTTCTGTATATCTACACTTCTCTCTTCCACTTTTTCACGAACAAAGTGATACTGAACTCGTATGTGTTTCGTCTTGGAATGAAATGCTGGATTCTTTGTCAAGTACAAAGCGCTCTGACTGTCACAGAATAGAGTCATTTCTCTGACTTGTGCCCGAGCTCCTCCAATAGCATTTGCAACCATATTGCCTCTTTACTAGCTTGAGTAGCCGCTATACATTCTACTTCTATCGTTGAAGTTGCCACAACCGACTGCAACTTCGAGACCCAGCTTACTGCTCCGCCAGCAAGAGTAAACACATAACCCATGGTGGATTTACTACAATCAAGATTACCTGCATAATCTGAATCAACATAGCCTTTAATAATGAAGTCTGATCCTCCATAACACAATGCAACATATGAGGTACCCTTGATATATCTAAGGATCCTCTTCACAGCACTCCAATGCTCTCTACCAGGATATGCCATGTATCGACTGACCGCTCCCACTGCTTGTGCAATGTTTGGTTTATTGCAGATCATAGCAAACATTAAACTGCACACTGCTGATGCATACGGTACTCGAGACATCTCCATCATCTCTGCTTCGTTGCTAGGACTCATACTTGAGGATAACTTGAAGTTAATAGAAAGAGGGGCAGAAATTGGCTTACAATCTTGCATGTTGAAGCGTCGCAAGATTTTCTTCAGATAACTCTGCTGAGAGAGCCAAATCTTCCTATTATTTCTGTCTTGGTGAATTTGCATCCCTAAAATCTTGTTTGCTGGTCCTAAGTCCTTCATTTCAAATTCCCTAGCCAATTGAGCCTTCATCTCCGTGATACGATCATTGTTGGGGCCTACTACCAACATGTCGTCAACATATAACAGCAAAATGATAAACTGATTATCGTCAAATCTCTTGCAATATGCACAAGGATCAGAGTTAAATCTGTTGTATCCATGGCTCAGAATGAAAGAATCAAATCTCTTTTACCAACATCTCGGCACCTGTTTGAGACCGTATAGAGATTTGTTCAACCTGCAAACCAAGTTCTCTTTTCCTTCTTCTTCAAAACCTTCTGGTTGGACCATGTAAATCTCTTCTTCAAGTTCTCCATGTAGAAA